CTGTATTTAGTCTTGTCTCTTCCTGTGTTCGGTGTCGGTTCATTGTTTGTCTTACCTTTCCTGTCACCCTCCATGTTTGACTGTCGGTTCTATCATGCTACGGATTTCTCAATGTCAAGTTCTTTCTTGTTTGATTATCGTCTACAGCTTTTTGTTAAATAAAGCTTGGCTTTTGTTATTTTACCTTTTTTTGTCTTTTTAAAACTGCATTTGAGTAAAATTCCCGGATCCTGACAATTATACACTTAAAATGCGTTGGTCAGGTAAATTCTGGCTCTGCAAAGTATGGTCCAGCAACCATCGGATACACAATGGAAGAGAAAGAACAATTCCTTTTAACAAGTAAACCGAGGAAAAGTAGAAAGTCTCGTAAAAATAAAAATACTCATGAAACAATTTAGAAGAGAACTTTCCCTCTCTGCTCTTCAGCTATATCAAATTATGTTTCTATGACTAAAAAACGATGCAATTCAAACTTCTTTTGCAGTAATATCTCCTTCAGTATGTGTATGACCTCTACACATTCATAGCACTACAAGGACTGTCCTACTTCTACGTCTACTACACTGTGTATTTCAACTGATGCTACTGGCTAGTAAATGATTATTTCCCATGTGAAGGTATAACATGTTTTTATGACAATTGACTTATCTCTTAAGGAGCACTACATCGACTGAATGGCATTCCTGCAGCCCTGGAAGTGCAGCCCCTGTACAAACTCCAGGTATGTCACTCAGCGATGATGGAGCACACTGCGGAGCGTAATTAACCTTATCTCACCTCAAATAAGTCTGACAACAGGTGCGTTTAGCGCGGCAGTCGGCGAGGATTGCTCCAGCAAGAGCCCTCATTTGTTAGATAGCGCTGTCAAAGGCTAACCAACCCGAGGAGAGATGGCTGCCCATGTTTAGACTGCAGTGAAAATGTCAATCTGCAGCGACGACTAATGACATTTGGTGTGCAAATGACGGGGGTAGTTTCACCCGATCTGTTTCTCTACTATTAGATTACAATTAAGAATTGGCCTTGTCTTTGCTGCGTTCCCCAGATTGATGCAGGCGGTAAAACTTTTTATTTTCATACCTGGAAGTGGCGCCGTTTTGAGGCTCGACAGCGACAATGTTGAAACTCCTCTTTCAACATTACAAATATATTTTTGACTGAGCTTTCAGGACCAGACTTGTCACTATTTTTGGTTCTTGTACCACTGTGTGAAAGTTAGGCTATAATTTGGACAGCAATAGTGCATTAGAGACTTGCTATATGAACATTAGTCACATTGACCCCAGAACACATTTGAAGTTCGTTATATATTGTTATTGTTCTTAGAGATCAGTCCATCGTATTTCTGTGGCTAACTCATTTTTATGCTAATACCATAGAGGACGACAATGTTGGTTCACTTGGATGAGGCCGATGATCGCTGAGCTTATAAATGTACTTATCATTTGAATATGGCGACAAGAGTTTGACTTTGTTTGTTTAAAATCCATCAAAACCCCGATATGAACAAAATTAGTTTCTGACAAAATTGACGTTTGTCTTGAAATTAGCCATTTCAACATCTCGCTAATTTTGATAGAGCGGGTCACATTTTTACCCAAAACATTTTACTCTAACATAATGGGATTTAAGAACTTCTAGAAAGTGAAGTCTTTCTGTTGGTTGCTGAGCATACTAGATCTCCCTCAGGAGGGGTTTTCTGTGTTGTCAACCACCTGTAACACGGCAACGCACTGCGCCACACGCCTCCCCACGGCCCGAATGGCTCTGCTCCCAGTGAATGGGGGTAGCCTCATGGCTTGTTGGCCTGTCTGTTTTTCCTCAAACCTTCTGTTGCTTTTTGGGCGGACGTTTTTTTGTGCAGAGTGCAGAGCAAAGTTCAGCCCCTGAACTCGCCTAGAAAGGTCACAGACATTGACACAGAGAGACACTCCTTGCCTTTCTGTCAAAGGGCCTTGTGCGCTTATGGCGCAGACGCTCCAAATTTAGAGACACAACCCTAAATACATAAAGCTTTTTATACCAAACGTCTCGTCCTGCCCGGACAACAACCCACTAATCTCGGCAAAGCTGGAGGTAACTGTTTAGTTTCCGGGGTAACGCTGTGTACTGTGTTGCTCCAGGGTTAGTGCAATATAAAGGGATGGAAATCAGTGTTTACATGGCAGGAAATGGATAAATACTTTTTGACATGTGCTGTTAAAATGATGTAGGATCCGAGCTTACTTGCCCTTCGTGGATGACAGACTCTGCAGAAGCCATCTGGAAGATAAACTGACCACTGGATGTTCCTGTAGTAAGCCATGTAGCGCCACATCTTTTCTACTCATCGAGAAAAAGCTTCAGCCTCTGTCCCTGAAAACACAATTTAAAACAAACAGAAAAGACGAATAATCATATCTGCCATCTGTAACATAAACCCACAGAATAGTCTAATTATCCCGACTAGTGTTTTCCACAGAATCCAATGGAAAAATCCCATTTGGCTTTTTGTCGAGGGAGTCCTGCGATGCTGACTTCAGGGTTGGCCTTCAAACTGAAGTCATCACTGTGTGAGTGTCTGTCCACAGCTGGTTAGCTTAGCTTAGCACAAAGTCTGGAAACAGGATCAAATGTAACACAATTCACCGACCAGCACCTCTAAAGATGTGTAATTATCATATTATATCTGATTCGTTTAATCCAAAACTGTTGTATAAAACAACGCGTTTTAGGTTATGTGCTTCAATATTTCTTTGCAGGTGAAGTGACTGCCTTAAGTGTTGTTGTTATTGTGAGGTTGACGGACAACCAGCAGAGACTTTAGGAACTTTTCCTTTAAAGGTCCCCTATTATACTGTTTTTCATCAATATGTTATAGGTCTCAGATATATACAGAGCATGTCTCTGATTGGTTGAAACACCAAACAGATCATTGCAGCATTACCCATAATCCCCTCTGTTTCAGCCCTGTTTCCAAAGTGCTGATTCTCTGTCTGTTACTTTAGATTAAAATAAGGAGCCCCTCCCCACGCCCCTCTGAGAGAGATTTGGTTAAAAAGAACACAATAGCCGCTTTCACACCAAGTACTTTGCCGTACTTAGTGCCAGCATTTAGTACCCCCATGGCATTAAGTACAGATCGCGTTCACACCGGAATAAGTTCCCTGAGGGAAGATTACGCAAATGAAGCCGCTGACGTCACTTTTTCTTCTTCTGCTTTGGTTTTACTGGCAGGGTCTCCCAGCAGCTTCTACTGAAGCCTTCCGAGTAAATCGCCAGAACGCCGACACCTCCTCATCTCCACCGCTCCCATGTTTTGTTTTGTGTTGCCATAAGTTAGTCTCTCTCCGTTGGTGCGCGGGGCTAATGCTAATGCTAATAAGGCTAATGCCAGCAAATACAATGGCCGCTTTACAAAACTTTTCAGAGTTTTACGGGGCGTGGTTTGCAATTAGCCCAGCCAATCAGAAATTGGAACTTTTTTCTCCCCAGGATATTACCACCTCTCTAGGGACTGAAAAGGGGGGGAAAAGTTCTCATGAACTAAGTTCTCTTTTTGGTGTGAACGCAAAATCCCAGGAACTATTGGAACTAAATGGGAAAAGTACTCCCATTTAGTTCCAATAGTTCCTGGGATTTTGCGTTCACACCAAAAAGAGAACTTAGTTCATGAGAACTTTTCCCCCCCTTTTCAGTCCNGCGCACACGAGTAAACCTGCATCGCTTTCTGGCTCCGTAATCACACCAATCACCAATCACAACAATAATTAAATATCACTCTTAATACAACAAATATTTAACATTGATCTATTTTGGGGTGCACATTTAGCTGTCCTTCATTCTTCATGTTAAAAAGGCCAAGAAGTGGTTGACATTTTTTCTGAATCGTTACTG